CTGCTGTTTATATTATATAAGAGGCAAAAAAACAAATACAGTTATATATATGTATTGTATATGAAATAGTTATTAATGTGCGGATGTCCAGTTTACATTTGAAGTCTCTTTGTTCCACTATAGTAATTTGTCATATTAAAACATATATATTAAACTAAATTACAATTTCCCGAGTTCCGTTTGATAATACATCGTGTAACATTAAACAATCGTACATATTTCAACACACAAATCGTTTTCCACGACTCAGGTAATGGCCTGTCAATAATATTTGTAACAGACAAGCTAGACAGAATCACTAATTAAAACCTTTCACTCCAAAACCTCGATGTTTCATTAATAAATGTGTCATGTTTGTTAGATTCACGTACTATTTAACAAAGGTAACATAATCAAAATGTCAGATGATAATATGAACGTCTCTTTTTTACATCTCGTCTCGGATTTATCTTTCTTTAAAGATGTCTAAAGAGGGAACTAACTAAATTGCTTCAAGTGCCCTTTGTACCAGATGACAAAGATATGAAAGTAGCCGCTGTGATAGTTTTTTAAAAAGTGATTTTATTACATTTTATATTGTAGCTATGAAATATTACAAATGAAAGTCAGCAGAACCTTTGTTTTACCGTACGTTTATTGGTATTTATTTAGAAATCTATTACCAAGTCAAAATTTAAAACTTAAAAAATTCTTACTAAAAATTATTTTAGATTGATGACAATTAAATAAACAGAAATAAATACACACCATAACTTCATTGTGCAATTTTTTCTATAGATAACATAAATACAATTTTTATCCAAATCAAAACTAATTGTAACTTACTTTTAATAAGTATGTATAACTAGGTCACTAACCAGCTGACTAGGAATAGGTTCATCGCAGATTTGTACGCGATAGAAGAGGGAGCGTAAGGTATAACGGCTAAATCTCTCTACAAACTACCAAATGACTTGGGCCTGACCAGAATTAACATAAATTCATTCTTAGAACGTACTTCAAACCCAGCCCCTGTAGGTTTTAATATGGGTTAAGTAAAGAGAGAAGGTTGGACGGTGGAGGTGAGCGTTTAACGCGCGTTCGATGGACCCGGCATACGCACCATGAATCCACTGAACGCTGAAAACTTTCATCTCTCTGAAATCTGTTTCTATCGTTTCGTTACTTGCTGTACTACTAACTATCGTTTCTAAAGATTTAACTCAAATCTGATATTAATTCAATTACCTAAATTTTATTTTCACAAAACAAGTTATATTGTTAAGAATTAAATAGTGTATTAATTATGTGAAAGCCAATCTGAATTGGACTTAATTATATTACAAGAAAGTAAGCACTGATCCATCAGCTATGCTTATGGAGAGTTATGTTATTTTGCATGCTTTATATGTAAATAAGAATAATACATGTTCAGCTTATTACCATAGAGGCGTAGACGTTTTCTATCTTATTTCTGAAGTCACATTATATTATAGATATACAGACATTTAGACAAAAAATAAACAAAAGGCGTTATATATATTAACTATAAATATATATAATGTTAAATAGTAATAAGACTTGTAAACTACTAATTCAGATTTCAACCTCTTATGAAAACCGATAAAATATATTAAAACGCTGTGTTTTATTTCATTCCATGGTAAAAGTTACTGAAGAAATGAGTTCCTATTAAATTTTATACAAGTCAGTGGTGGCCTAGTGGTTAAGGGGCTTGCCCCTCGTTACCGAGGGCGCGGGTTCAAACCTGGCAAGTACCAATGTGATTTTTCGGAGTCATATGTACTTTCTGAGAGTATTTAGACATCACTGACATACGGTGAAGGAAAACATCGTGAGGAAACCTGGACTTATAGTTTCACAATTATAAGTTTGAAATCACCAACCCGTCTTGAGCAAGCGTGGTGATTAATGCTCAAACCTTTTCCATGTGAGAAAGAGGCCTTTGCTCTGTATTGGGCGTCTGATAGGCTGATGATGTTGTTACAAAATTTCTATAGAGACAATCCTGTGAATTGTTTGAGGTAAAAATAAATTAGTTGTGTATATGCGTTCAGTAAATAGGGTTTAGATTAGTATTGCAACCAGATAACCCTATTTTGTTGATTGGTTATATATAAATCGCGAATTATAAGTCTAGGAATCTAGATAAGTTTATTATTCAAATATGTTGTATACAATTTGCATACAACTATAAAGACGATGAAATGTGGCGTCTAATGTTACAAGTGATATGTGTACACCAGACGCCAACACAATGATATAAAAACGTCCACACACACGCCTCATAAAAGCTAAACTATAGAAATCTCTTCAGAACCGCAAACAAACGCTCTCAAGATTTATTCCCTGTATAAAACAACGATTAAATAACCACTGAAACTTGACCTTCGACCTCTGGAACACTTACAGCTTATTTAAAAAACATTATCTTTCATTAAACCTTTTTCACAATTATAATACAAAATTGACGTAATGCTTAATTGAATGTCACTTTATAAAGTACGCACTTTATACTATAATAGTATTTCAACATATTAATGAATTAACCCGTCTATTCTCTCAAAATTTGTTTATGCAGACGCTATTCAAATCCGCTTAAATCCCTCCAACGAACAAAACATCGGAATTAATGAGTTTAAAAAAATATTTTCTACAGATTTTTTGTATTCGAAAAACATGTTTAAATGGAAAAGGATAAACAACTTAGACCATGGAGAAGAAGACAAAAGACATGTGTCATGTGTGTTAGTCTGTCATATGTATAATATCAAACAGATTGGTCAGTAATTTCTTCTTATTTCTTAATATGGAATTTTTACTACTTAATATTTCTTCCTGTTAATTAATATGCAACAGAATGGTCAGTTAGTTCTTCTTATATGTAGATAATATGGGTTTATTTTCGTATACTATGTTAATAGTACCCTAATTCATTTCATTCTTGCATTAAATATCAATAAAATTCTCCAGTATCGGTCAGAAGAAATAAACATTTCTATGTCGCGTACTGGGACAATTGTCATTTGTTTTAAATAAAACGTTTAAGAAACCTGGTCGGAGCAATATAAACATCGTTTCATTGTAATCTTTGCTCTGTGGATTACTTAAACAGCCAACGAATGAAAGCCGCGTTTTGTTTAATATAAACTGTAAACCTAATCTTGTTTGATTTGCTTCGAGCTCTGTGAAAGAGAATTTTATATGAATCAATGATTTCATTAGAAATAAAACAATTATTACTCCTTTTTGTTCTCTAAATTATTAATATTAGTCATATTTTAGTACGAAACTGTGTACATCTATATGATCATGTATTACTCTTACATGTATTACATGTAATGAAGCAGTCCAAAGCGCGTAAAAGTTTTTATTGATTCCCGTCCCAATGGTCTTTCAAAGTTAAGGGACGAATTAACTACCTATGGGCTATGACATGGCAAAAGTGCATAAATATCTTTGATACGTATGTACTTCAATTAAATAAATATATTATATTTAAAAAATCGACTTTCGTTTTCTACTATACAAAACGACAATGTCATATGTTAGAATCTAACACTTACATTGACTCCAAAGAATTTAATAAGCCAATATATAAAAATATGAAATCCATCAAACATATTACACGGAAGCATGTTGTTTTACATTCTTTGTACGTCAACAAAAAGAGTAGTAAAAACGTAGTTCTAATAGAATTTCACTTTACAAAATCTCGTCTTACATAGAGACGCGTGTTCAAACAGCTTGTAAACAAAAGCTCTTAACCTATTAAAGTAAATCGGGGTGAAGGCGACTGCAGCTTGAAAGGGGCACATGAGGGAGGTACACTTAGCAGAAACAAACATTCACTAAATACGTTTATTGTAACATGACCTGTTTATACAAATCATAATTTTAATTTAAATGAAACTAATATTTTTCGAATATACTTCGCGACTTTCTCGTCATCTCGTCATCTCGTGATCACAGTTGCAGAAAAGGAGCCGAAACGTCGTGACTATGTAGTTTTTTTACAAATATAAAGTCGCATAGTAAACCGAAATATATTAGTTCCATTAAAACGAATAAAACTCGCGAAAATCTTAAATCTCATCATAATTTTAAGTCATACACTATATTATATGTAGTAGTTTAACATATGACCCCTTTCTCTTAAAGTATGGATTAAAATAATTAGTTGGATTGATGAGAGTCTCGATACGGAATCATTTGAAATCATTCAATTTAAAACCTTAATTTATTATTATTTAGAGTCGATTTCAATGAATGCGTTATATTTCAATATTATTTAATATATAATATATTGAGTTTCTATACAAAAAACTCGGTTCTGAAGCATATATTTCTTTGCTTTTATAATTAAGGACACGTTGGAAATTTATTATTTTATTATAATTACATAATTTTGAATTATAAACAAAAATTTCAGTTACAAATTGTTACAAATGTATAAAAAATGATATTTAATTAAAAATGGGAAACCTATAGTAACTATTATATGACCACACTAACGAGAATCACTTTTGTTCATAAAATATAACTTCCACGAGTAAAGACATACCGTGAAACATAGACGGCTTATTAAATTTGTCAATATACAGTTCGTTAAGTGTTCGAAACTTTCTTTACGTCTACAAACAATTCCCTCTACATAGTTACGACTTTCAAGAAACTGTATTAATAACATATAAACAATAAAATACATTTAATACAACTATTCTAATTTTGTGACTATGAGATTTAATGGATAATATAATGTGTTTCGAATAAAAGACATACATAAACAAAGTATAACGAAAATATTCAATTATTTTTCCAATCAGAAAGCGACCAATTGTATTATAATAACTTTGAGCAAAGAAAGGGAACGCAACGGAATACGAAATGGGACTTGGGTATTTTATATTTTATGTATTCTAGTGTGTATTCTGGTGTTATTCTAATGTGTATTCTAGAGTGTATTCTAGTACATATATTAATGCGTACTTAATACTTACCGTTCCGAGACCCGTACAATTATCCTCATGGAGTATATCAGCCATGCTTGTTGAAATTATCTGAAACAAAAACTATTGTTACTCAAACTTCCACAGTTTCAAAACTTATATAATATTTTACTTGTTATAATTTTTAATATACAAACATTCTTATGAATATATTTAAGCAGCCGGGAATCGAATACGGAAATTAGATTATTAGAGCTAACTGTACCTCACTGTTATATAAGTAGATTCATTTATAAATAAATTAATTGGTTTATTGAGAACATTTAAGTTATTCACCAGCAATCTTTACAATCAAATAAATATCACACATACAAGTTTTTTATACTACGTAGACATATTCACTAATAGCTTGATGACGATTATTTAAATCAAGAAAATTGTAAGGAGTGTCTTCAAGTATGTATCTATGTTAATGTCGTTTATATAAATCATGTTCAAACATGGTTGAGCTCCATGTCTGGGAGCCCCTTGTTTACTGAGGAGTGAACGCCGGCCGTTTGCCACCAAATTCTATGACAACCATATTGATAGTGTACACTAGGAAAAAATGCGCCATTTATCAAAATTTTATTCATTTCATGCCAAATTAACAATGCTTATAAATGTAAACTAATATTTTCGGAACATACTACGCGTATTTTATTGTTGAAAACGTCGGGAGTATGTAGTTTTTGCAATAATAAAATCGTAGTACATATATCTAATCTGAAAAATATAAGTTTCATTTAGATGAATACTCGCGAAATTCTTAAATCTCATTACGCTTAAAATGTTGATAGACTTTAACCTTTTATCAATGTTAGCTGTATTAGACTCTTGAATATTAAGCTTTACAAAAAATTCAGACCAAACAGTCTTTTTAAAATCGATACGAAAACAAAGTTTTAAAAAAATATTACTTGAATTTAAGCATGTAAGCGTTTAAATATATACTTATTGTAGGTCCCCTGACGTTGTCAAACTCAGCAGAATAGTTGAAACTGTTTACTTGTTAATATTTCCAATAATAACAGCCATTGTTGTGTGAAACTACATTAAAACAGTGTCCCATTCACCGCTTCGCATTAGTTTACTCGGAGTTCAGAGCGGAACTTTTAATTTAATTCTTTGTTTTATTGTTTAGCTTCAACATGGGAATTTATAAAAGTTCTTTATGAGTAAAAAATATTCATAAAAATTGTCTCTTTATATAAATAAAATGATATTATAATCCCATTTAAGACGAGTGGAATAATAGGTTATTAAGGCGATTAACTTGAAAAAGGGAAGGTCAGTCAAATAAGTAGGCCAGTTTGTGCTATAGGACTACGCTTGAAACTGAAGAAGTTTCAGTGATTGAAGTAAACACAGAAATTAACGAAAGAAAAGACCTAATTACTTTTGTTACAATTATTTTGTCTCGTCGTGCAGAAACAACAATACCTATAAGTTCCTTTACATTATAATTAAGTAAAAATACTTTCATCTATAGTAATATTGGAAAAGAAATGCGTGTTTCTATTTCAGTAGAACTTAAATACATATTGCCCAGGAAGTGTACATTAGTTCAAGAATAATGTAAAACTATAAAAAATACTACTAAAATCGTCTTAGTTTGTTGGCAACGCGTTGCGTCATCGCGAGATATTTTTACTGAATTATTACGTTACACAAACAAGTCTAGTTTTATGGGATCGTGAAAACTGAGTGCACGTTTGTGGACCTTCTACTGGCAACCAAACAGATATAAAAATACTAAACAATTGAATGAACGAGTACGTTCTGTAGGCTAAAACGGCTGGGGATTTTCGATAAGCTAAATCGCCTCCACTATATTGAATGCAAATATAATAGCTGCAACTTCAATTGAGGGTAATGAATTTTGACGAATGTTAAATTTGTTTAATATGTACAAAGGCGACGTGTGGGTAATTTAAATAGTTGACATATGTTAATCGATTTCATGCGGTTAGTATTAACATCAATATAACCGTTGGGGAGCAATAACGTTATGTCCTGCGGTCGCGAACGTTCCAGTCTACTCTCGATTGCTTTGGTAATATACTAAGTTCGAAGATAACAAATAAAATTAATTTAACTTTACCAAACTGAACTTTATTACCTACATAAACTGTTTCCTTCAACAACATATAAATGTATTATAAAAGTTAACATTGTTAGACATTATTATTGTTCAAATGTATGTATATCTTTATATGTAGGAACCATCAAATCCAAGCCCTAGTTAAACTACACTATAAATTAGATTGAACACAAGATGGCGGATTAATCAGCAGGTGACACTCCCGTCGTTTACATATTCATGATTGATTATAACTTTTCGCATACATTTCAGAAATTAACTTCTTCATGTCCCTATATATATACATATAATAGTAAAAGATAACTATTATACAAAATTTACGAAACATTAATCTGACTGCAAGCACTTAATATAATTAAGTATTTCACGTTTTAATTAATTTAATCTTGACATACGAATTGTTTCTGAACCTTTTTAATTATATTTTAATTCGAATAAGCTATAACACAATTAATTTTCAATTACAGACACTTAGTAATTAATCTTTTGGATATTTTATGTGAGTACACATTAAATTTAGTAGCGGGATGGGCACACAAAGATTCTTTGTCTTAGGTACAATAACATCAAGTGACTTACTGGAATTAAGGCTTTTTATTGGCCATAAAGAAAGGTTAAATATGTCGTAGGAATACTGAGTGCCCCAACCAGCCCCATTACAGACTTGTTTAATATAAAGTACACATTGTATAAAACGGTTAATACGTTTTTCACGGTTCTCGGGATTTCGAACATTAATTAATTTCTCATTTATAATCTGGATTTAATTTTACACGATTTATTATTATAAGAAAATTAAATAGCACCGTAATTAACAATTTTATGACATAATTAAATTGTCTAATCTCGCTTTTATAACCGAGATGTGAAATATGGAAGGAATTACTTAGAATTCGAGCTACAAATGAATTTACGTACAAAATTTCATAGAAACTTCAAATCGTATTAAATTTTAAGTTACATATATTCATATACATATGTATATGTATTTTAAGAAAATATTAATATAGAGCTTATTCTTTATATTTCTCTTTACTAATTAATAGTAAATACATAAGAAGTCTCTTCAAAGTTTTCCACTTAATTTTTCCGATATATTTCACAGTGTGACGTTGAAAAATCTTCTACATTACGTGATATTGTTCATTAGTTATAATATGGGGAGCTTTAACTTCATACTCGACAGGCATAAGGCCGTTTATTGATAGTAAAACTTTATCCTTTTATGTTCGCTTAATTTATAAAGATGAAAGACATTCGTTTAGCGGACTGTAAGTAATTACTGCATCGGCTAGACCTATACATTATATAAAATATACATATATTATTATCTTTAAATTGGTATTAGATCAATATCTTTTAGGAATAGGTCACTAACGTACGTATGTGAATACAGTTCTAATGTTCTGAGGGTAAGTTTCCATATGAACGAATCTTCCGATAAGGTCAATCTCTTGAAGATGATATGCTTCCTCAGATCAGATTCTTCCAAGTAAAAGCCATTTAAATAATGTCCCTTGAATCGTTATTTATCGAACCAAATGTAACTTGAAAAAAATACTACGATTTAGCCTCTGTTATTTCTTTATTAGCTTTGGACGACGAGGCTTTGAATTGACATAGATATTCATGTTGAAATTTTATTGACTAATATATATGTATATATAATTCGATATTATACTTTAATCATATGTACATATGTTTTCGTCATTTTTTTTTGTATGCGTTTATCATATTTCGTTATTAAAATTTATAGTCTCATATCGTCTCTACTATAGGTCTTTCACGTTTGACCGTTTCCATTTTCCGATCTTAAAGTTGAATCTTAATTCATGTATTTAGCACACTCAATAGAAATCATTTTCAAAAATTTAATATCTGCCATTCAAAATACATTTATGTCACATCGTTCTTTCCTAAGAACAGATCAATTCAAACTATGTAGTACATTATTTTTATTTTTCCCAAGCAGATAACAACGAAACATCGAACGTATATTCAATAATTATTTCATATGAAAACTATAAAGATCTATGAGTTATATTAAAACAAATGGCTGGACAGTAAATAATTAGTTGTGAGACATCAGCGGGGTACCGGCGACCGTCAATTATCGCCGCGGTTATCGTCCTCTGTAATGCTTAGTTTTTATATTTCGCAATTTCCAAGCCATTCCAGATGAGTACAGGTCTTAATATTGTACAGTGACATCGAATATGAAACAGATGTTCGATTAAGAATTTTCTTCACCCTCTGTCAGACATTACCCAAAAAATCAAATTATAATAAACAAAACCATTGATATAAAAAAAAAAATACTTTATTATTTGTACATATTCTTATGTTTTAAATGTTCACAGTACTTAATAGTTAAAATGATTTCTAATCGTCTAAAAGTATTCTATACATCTCTGGAAGGTGGCAGGCGAGTGTTTAGTATGGGACACAATAGCTCCGTTGACTAATGTGTTAGGAAGTGTTATGACGGAAGTCTCCTTTTCGATTCCCGCTCGTGATTGTAAATATTTAACATTATTTGAAACTTTTGAATTATTTCGTTCAAAATAACTTTAATGACTGCTACATATATTTAAACCCGTATATAAATCTATATTATTCTTCAACAGCTAGACCACTATCATTACATATTGACTAATGCCTTGAACATACACAATATTTTCTTATTTACATAAAACTTTCTTTTTTGTATATGCCAAAGCAAAGTTTCCCTTATTGCCTTCAAACGCTGATATTCGTTTCTCTAAATTATCTTAAAAACTACATTTATTGTCATTGTTGTCTTGTTTTTTTTTGTTCAAGCGAATACTCTTTAGGACGATTAATGACAGCATTCTGTCTCACGATTACCTTATGAATTATTTTCTGTTTCTGTATACCTAAGCTGTCAAAATGGCATAATTTTTGCTTATATATCGTCAATCGTATGAACGTG